GACTTTTGTGCTCTCCTTCGAACGCTACAGTTTTTCGCGGTGGCTGGTGTTCACCGATTTTGCTTGTTTCGACATCCGGTGCTGCATCAGTTTCTGCAGACGTCAAGTCCAGCACTGTCGTGTCACGAGCTTTGCTTGTGGACGCAGGCACAGCAACCTGTCGTGCTTGTTCCTCTTCCACTTCATTTTCGTCTTCTGGTAAGGGAGCCTCATGCTCATGTTGACCAGATGAACTTTGCACCGAGTGGTCCGTTTTATCTTTCGCGACCTTCTTCTCGGACAAGTTGCGCGAAAACGTAATCCCAGTAATGTACTTCTGCAGCCTGCTGCTCATTGTGGATTTTTGTGCAGCTATTCCACTAGCACCTCCCACACCCACACTGCTGGTCTTCTTCACCATTGCACCAATTCCGGCCATCGTCGAGCCCCTCTGTAGTTGTGCTAGTGGCAGCTGCTTGTTGATATTGCTTCGCTGCATCTCCTCTAGATGCCAGTACTCAAACGCGATAAAACCGACCGGAATGTGGATCAGATCCCGGAAGAACCCGAAGAGAACGACAAACAAAGCGCAAAACACCTGTCGCTCGACAAAGTAGGCGGACCGCAATTCGCACTTGTACAGGTGCTATCAAATGCAAAAGTGTCTGGGTCTGGAAACTTGTACTTGTGATGCTGGGTGGCGTATCATGAGGAGGCCACAAGTGCTCGCTCAGCATGACAAGTTTCTGAGCTTCTAGGTGTTGCCTATTCTGCATGACAAACTGCGTTCCTGCATGACAGAAAAATGGCGCTCTTGGGTAACGTGCATGACAGATTTGAAGGCCATGCCAGACAAGCATGACAAACATGCACTCTTCCAGACCCAGACACTTTTACATTTGATAGGTGTCCGCTTTTGTCGATAGTAGTTTCAAGGTCCGGGAGCAGCAGAACTTCCTTGGAGTTTGTCGACTCGAGCAGCACCGCAATGAAGCTGACGACGAAGAAAAAGCCGCAAAGACTATTGTGCAGAATATGGGGCTCTCAAACGTTACATTCTCAACTGTTACATGAATTTGTCATGCAGAAGCACCATCATCATCCACTCGATCAAGCTGCTTGACATGACAAATTTGCCGAGGGCTAAACAGCGCCTAAATCTGTGCGGAATTTGTAATGTTACAGGCGCAATCTCCTCCCTTTCACTTTTCCCATTCTTGCATCACAAATCCATGTAACAGTTGAGAATGTAACAGTTGAGAACGCCATACAGAAACACGGTAGTCACCAGGCTGTTCTCCGTGAACAGCTGCGCAGCGATCGTAACCATATCCGCGGCTTCCGTGACGGTGGGGAGAGACAATACGATCAGCAGTGCGGCGACAAGAGTGAAGAGAGTTGCGGCGAACTTGAACAGCGCGGTGTGCTCGACCTTCAGATTGGAGCTGTGCGTGGAAGCGACCACGTCAACAGCAGTTCGTGTTCCATCTTGATCTTCCCCGCTTGTTGAAGCTGGGTTTATGCTGGATGTACCACGTTCCGTGAAGTACATTCTTGTTGCGCTAGTAGTCGTACTCAAATCCACATGTGTCAAGACCAAGTTGTCCAAAACCAGAAACAACAGACATAAACAAGCAACCGCCGTGCTGTACACCACCAGAGGGCCGCTGTTGAAGCTGTTTTTCGCCGCCTGTTTGGTTGCCTCGAAAGTGGATTTCGTCGACTTCACCAGTTTTTCCGTGGGAAGTTTTTGCGTCACTACAGAGGCCAGAGACTTCGCGCGCAACATCACCATGGTGGACGTTCTCGATCGGCGGCCGATTTTTTGCTTAATTCGGTGGGACAAAGACCGCGCGGATGTTGAACTCGCGGTGCTTTGCTTCGAGTTGGACTTGGACAGGACGATTTGAAGGTCGTCGGGTTCCGCGTGTTGAACAGTAGTTGCAAAATTATCGACACTGTGGTCATAAGTTGACACTTCGGTTGCGCGGTTATCAACTTGTAGATTCCCACCACTGCCACTGCTGCTGCTACTTTTCTCATCATCGCTGGTTTTCGACAAGCCAGGTTCCGACGGAGATCGTATTCCGGAGAGATGACGAGAAGTCGGTGTAATACCTGGCATGGCCTCAGCGTCTGGTCCTTGATGGGACAGCACGCCCGAGCTACTGCCACGGTCAACATCCGGCAGGTCTTCAGTGGCAGGAACTTGCAAGGCGCCCGACCCACCTGCTGCGCCATCATTTGATAGGGAGTCTTCTGCGGCTTCGTGACTACCTTCGCGATAAAGATGCTGCTGTGCTGCTTCTGTCGCTGAGTGAAGACCCGGTTTGTAGTCATCATCTTCAGACGAGTTGTACGGCGAAAGACTACCGTTATTTTCATCGTCAAGACTGTCGTCCTCCTCCTCCAGCACCTTCCGCTTCGCTCCACCTCCGAGACGACCCAGTGGTCCTCGCGGTCTATTTTGCAGCTGCAAAGAACGTCGCGCCAAACACGCAGCACAAGAGCGGTAAACACTGACGCAACACAGGTCCCAGATGGGCTTGAACACCCACTTCGTGAGGAACCGGCAGACCGAGTCGGTGAACACTGGGCTGAGCCAGAGCAGAAAAAGCGCGGAGATGATATAACCTGCTCAGCTGTTACAATTTCAAACGTTACAATAGAATCTGGAATTTGTGTTGCAAGAAGTGCATTATCTAGCCGTAGCCAACTCTCATAGGATTGCGCATGACAAGTTTCGGAGCTCCAAACCGCAATATAATCTGGCGAAATTTGTATTGCAGAAAGTGGAACGCTCTGCGAGTCTGTCATGCTCATCATGCAACACAAATCCCAGATGCAGATCTTATTGTAACGTTTGAGATTGTAACGTTTGAGCAGGTCATAGATGAAGAGGAGAAACTGGTCGCGAAGCCCGTCATCGAGGATATCGTTGATGTCGTCCCAGGAGTATCAAATGCAAAAGTGTCTGGGTCTGGAAGTGTCATGCTGCTTTTGCATGACACAGAAGGTCTGGCATGGAAGCCCTAGCATCACAGGTTTCGAGAAGCTTCCGCAATACCGAATCCGCATGACAAATCCCCCATTTTGGTGACAGAAAGGGAGCAGCTTTTGCTGCCTGTGCATGAGAGATTTTTATGGGTTGTAAAATACGCATCACAAGTTTGCACTCTTCCAGACCCAGACATATTTGCAATCCATAAGGAGTCATTTCGGATGGTCTGCACGTTGGAAATGACCTTGAAGAAGATGTTGAAAAAGCTTGAAAAATATGCGAAAAAGAACGTCCGTTGACGAAAAACCAAGCTTGCAGTCTGAGGAACAGCACGTCATAGTAGTAAAAAGGCAAATGAAAAAACTTCGTCGTGGTCTACGTCTACCCTGAAATAAATAATGTACAGTACCGAAGACGTCGACCCTGTCAGCCCCGAGGAACTTCCTCCTGCAAGAGCCTCCGCAGCTCCTGCGGACACCAGCCCTAATTGCACGGCCGCCGCGTTTCTGGTGTCTTTCTGCGTCTGGCACCGCGTCCAATCGCGTGAGAGAGTCGGTTCCAGGCACACGGTCCTGGAAAGTTTGGACGTATCCACTCCGCTCGATCGCACCGTGAGCCACGCCAGCGTGGATTCCTCGAGAAACCACAAATCCCGCCAGCCATCTGGGCAATTTTCGCTGTTGCGGGACAAGTAATCCAGCGCCTCGCCGCGGGAATCAATCGTTTTCCCGTCGGCCGAACTCGCAGTCCCGCTCTGCAGGAGGTCGTTGACGAGGGCGTCTTTGACCGCATCGAGACGTCGCTGCGATTGCGCTTGACCCGTGGTGAGGTACGTGTTTTGGGTGGACTTTTTGTTGGCGGAAAAGAAGAACACGACCGCTAGCCCGGCGTAAACGAGAATCGCGACGAGGATAAAGCCTGCAAAAATCCGCTCCGTTTCCTTGCGCTGGATAATGACCATCTGGCGGCGGCTTTGTTTGTGGGAGTAGCCATTGGGAGCTCTATTGTCCTACCTCTAGGCTCTTCTTGATTAGTGCAAACTATAATAATGGCAGCAGAAAAGTTTAAATTTAAGTAATTTTAAAGGCTATGCAACTCATATGGCTCTGGTCCTCCGAGGGACGTCCTATCCCCCTGCTTCCGCAAAAGTGTACTCATCCCTACAACCTTCCCAGTGACAGACGGTCTCTCCTTGCTCACCGAAGCAATGGAAAACCGCTCACATTGCAAGCAACGGCACGAAGCCGCAACGTAGCGAAATCTACTCTTCGGGAAGGTCCAAATGGTACTTGCGCTTGCGGTTGCGCACATCACATTCTTTCATAATAGAAACCGCCATTCGTCAATCGGGCAGAACATCATACGCAGCCGCTTGAGCACGAAGGTGCTGCGAAAAGAGCTTTCCTGGAAGCGGCAGAGCCATCCTGGCTGGTCGCTAGCGCGCGCCATTGGCAATGGCGAAGCGCCAACCTTCTACAGACATAGACACAGGATAACACGCGGAGCAAGCAGAGGTCGCCGGAGTAGCTTGGCGGGCACTGGTGCCAAACCCGCGAAGCGAAGGAAAAATGTGTACACTCACACAACACGCGACAGCGGCGCAAGTGCGGCGCAGGGTGGAGTGGGTGCGCCAGGGAAGTGGCCGCCACCCGTGCTAGCTTGGGCGGCCGGGGCCAGCCCAGGTGCAGGAGCGGCGGCGGGCCGCGGCCGGGAAGCGGTGCGCCGCTGGCCCGCCGTCCCGCGCACTAAATAGGCAAAATAGCTGCGACAAAGACCAGGCTGCGCTTTGCCGCGGAGGAGCTGGGCCGGGCGCGCCCGCCAAGGCTACCAGCCGCCGCGGAATAAACAAGCAAAATCCGGGCGCCCGGCCGCGCGCACGAACTGCACGCAACGAAGCAAGGAACGGCAAGGGCTCGGCGCGCCGGGCGATGCGTGGGGTCCCTCCTCAGCGGGGCCGCCCGCCCCCGCCTCAATACGCCACGCACCTTGCTGCGGCCCGGGCGGCGCCCGCCCCCGCGCCTCGTAGGCGCGTGCCTGCATACATTTGGCCGGCCCGGCCTTTGACGGGACCGGCGCCGTGCTCATGCCCCGCCCGGGGCCTGCCTGCGCCGCCGTAACTTCATCGCCGGCAGGCTCGAGCCGTGTCGCGGTGATCTTCAAGCTGCCGCGCTTCGCCCGCGCTTGGCTGCGTTGGATGCCTCTGCACAAGGCGGCGCGGCCGCCGGGCGCTGCGTACCCCCACCGACCCCCGCGGCCGGGCGGCCAACCAGACAGCGAGCGGGCGCCCGGTGCGGCGGGCACGCACATCAGCGCGCCGGCCGGCTTGATGGCCCGGCCCCTTTTCGGGGCCAGTAGCGCGGCCCGGGGCGGGCTTATGAGTTCGCGACACCCAGCCGGAGGGGACGCCGCCCGCGCCCCTCGCGGAGGCAATGCCCGGCCCCCCGAAAACACGCGCCGCCCCGCCAAGCCAGGCCCTTCGAACAGGCTGCGGATTTTGCTGGGGCGCGTCTGCCCCGCCCATCCTCCGGCAACAAGCGGCAAGAGCCCCCAAGTTAGCGCGGGCCGTATCTACCGATCAAGGGCGGCGGCCAAGGTGGCGGCCTCGCCGGCCCGGGTGATCCGGCAAACGAACACCGCCGCCGCCCGTCCTCCGCGCATGTCTGCGCGCCATGACACCGCCCAACGGAGCCACGCGCGCCGTCGCTTTGCGCCGGCCCCGAGGCCAGTGCGGGCGGTGGGTGCGGTTTTACGCGCACCAGCCGCGCCGGCCCGCCGCTGTCGATCTCCGAAAGCCGGCGGCTGCGCCATGTGCCTGTGCGCTGTCTCCTGTTCCGATGGTATGCACAAAGGACAACAAAAATCGCCATCAAGACGCCTTTCAGCTGCATGCGACCTCACTGTCGTCGTTATCTTAGGTGAGAAGCCTTTCGCCTCCAAGTTTAAGAACACAAGTGCATGATCACACACACGCCATGGGACATCATCTACTTCGTCGTCCCACAACATAACAATCAACAATTTTCCATCGCTATTGCCTGAAAACTTTCTGGATTCTTTGCAACTAGCTGTCGCGTTGTTTTTCTCAATTTTGTCCTCCAACAGTGAAAGAACCGCGACAGTAAAGAAGCTGCTTGAGAAGTAGAAGCAGGGTCTTCAACATTTCCACGTCGCGTTTTTAGGGCTACTAACGCCAGTTCAGTGCTTTCTGCTGTCTGTGTGGTTTCCACTTCTTCGATAGGCTGTTGAGAGGCAACAGCTTCAGCTTCATCTGCTCCACCCGACCCGAATACCCTCGGACTTTCCTCATCCTCGCGACCAAGGCAGAATGATCCGGCTTCTACTCCCTCGCCCGCCGCGCCCGGGCACTCCACCGTCCTCTTCCTCACGAGTTCGTGGACGGCCAGCAGGGAGAAATTGGCTTTCCAGAGAGTCTTACTCTGCCGGACCTGCGTCCGCCCGGAGGCCAGACTTCGGTGCGGATGGAAAGCAACCGGGTACTTGGACACCAGAGACTTCGCGACGGGTTTCGGGGTGACGATGGCATTCTGCTTTGGTTCTGGGCGCGTAATACTGGTGCTTCCTGATGATCCATCACGCTGCAGTTGTCTACTTGCATCTTCAGCCAGTTCCTGTACACCGCTCTCGTCGCTAATGTCCTGTCGGTTCATCTGCGGAGTCATGTCTTGCTTTGGTTGATGAAAATTCTGCGCCTGATCGATCGCACACCGCTCCCACAAGTGGTTGCTGCCCTCGAAAAAGAGCCAAAACGGCGCAGACGCGTTGTTCTTCAGTGTGTAGTGCTGCGGCTTGTTGTATACCAAAGAGCCAAATCGGTCACGAAAGATTTCGTCGGTGTTTTGCAAAATCTCGCCCAAGGACGTCCTATGTGATTTAGCTGCGCCAGTTGTACTTGTTGCTTCCACTTGCAGTTGCATACCTGGAGGTTCTTCACCGTCTTCTTCTCCGCCTCGACGTGCGATGGTAGTTGTACCAGCATTCCCGATCTTCCCGTGTGTTGAAGCGGTGACAATATCCTTCATCCGAATCTCCCCCACATTTCTCGACAGCCGGACCGTATGAATTGCAAAAGTATCGTACTCGTATAAATGCATTATTTCCTCAGCATGAGAGATAAAATTTGTAATGCTGATTTACCTTGTAATGCATGATTGCTATACGAGTACGATACTTTTGCACAGGATAGACCAAGCTATCCAGGGCGTCGGCCCAGAATAATCTTCCAACCGAGTCCCTCGCGTCCGCTGGCGCGATGCCGCGCAGCCCCGCGTTCCGAAAGCACGTGTTGGCAATGAGTAAAACTTCCGTGTGCTGTTCCTTCGCGAAGGGGTCGCAGTCCAGCCCCGCGGGCGGCCAAGTGGAATCCAGGATGGCGGATTTCTTCCCGCTGTCACGCACCTCTGGGTTTTGCTGCCGGTTTTGTCTCAAGTCCTGCAGAAACAGAACCAGTTGCCGCAAACCTATTTGGTTCAAACACGTGCCCTGGCTCGGTTCGGTCAGGAATCCGTCCTGAAACACGGAGTGCGCCCAGGTCTGGCCGACGTAGAGGGGGCTTTGCTTCGTTTGCTCCGTCGCGAGGTTTTTCAGAAGCAGAAATCGTTTGAAATTTTCCGGGAAAAAGGCAACGTCGGACTCGATGAAGCAGTACCAATAGTGGAGAGCGTCTTCCTGTTTGTGTTCGTCTGCGCCAGGACTTTCATCTGATTGTGGTCCGGCGTTCGTTGCAGCTTGGTTGTTTTGTTGAAAATTCTTGCGTTCTTGAAAGAAAAATCGTTCGGCGTCTAATATGCTCGTGTGAAATTTCTCGACTGTATTCGGCATTTTGTCCGCCTGTCTCCACACATCTTCCGCCATGGAAAAGCCGCCTTCTGCCTCGGATTTCGCGAGGTTCCGTACCGGGACGTTGTTGTATGTGGAGAAAGAAGCAGTCCCATCATCCGTAGGAGATCCCGAAGTCCCTGATCCTACGACCGTTTTGTTCGCGATCACAAACGCCGCTTCATCGCAGTACGGTGCGGTGACGACACTATGAGCCCGCATCTCCGCCTCCTCGTGAGGCCAGACCGCTAGTAAGACGCAGGCGACGCGGATTTTCGCGAGGGTGTTTTGAATCTTCTCGTTCAACACACGGGAAGCTTGAGCTTCATGTTGTGTGGTGATTGCTGTGCTGCCGGGTATCTTTCTCCTTGAGTTTGTCTGTAGAAGTTCTTGTTCTGCAGCTGAAACGTCGACGCTCGCGCCAGGTTTTCCTTCGATCTTCCCTGCTGTACTCGAATGCTGGTGGTGTGCACGGTCTTGGAGGACTTGCAAACGCAGTTGCTTGTCCTCGGACAGGACACAGGAGGATGTTGCCCTGTCATGCCGCTCCGCGTGACCATAACTGTTTCTTCTGTCCACCGCAAACTGCCACTTCGGGCTGTGAAATCTCGACACAACGTCATTCTGCCCCCTTCCGTCCTCGCAGAACGTACTTAGCACGCGGAAAATCTTCTCCGTGAACTGGTCATTTCCAGGCTGATCCTTGTACACTACAATTCCCGTCCGGTCCGCTATCATGCAGTTCCAGGCCCAACACTCCATCGATTTGTCCGAAAACAAAGCCGTATTCGCGCCGGATTTCAGCAAAAAACGCTGGCAGTCCTCCGCGGTCTCCGCAAACCGGATACCCCCCTTGAAGTCCCCCGGCGGGCAGTCGAGGGAATAGATCAACTCCCCCTCTGGGAGGTATCAAACGTAAAAGTGTCTGGGTCTGGAAGAATGCAGCTTGAACTTGTCATGCTAAATCTGAAGCATGCAAAAATCTATGCTGCATGATTTTGATTACCAAAAGTCGTCCAGTTTATTTGACCAAGTCGGGAGGGAGTTTCTCATGCAGGATAGGCATGAGAGAGATCGAGCAGCATCTGTCATGCTAGGTCCTGCATTCCAGACCTCATGGGTCAGCGAAAAGCTGCATGAAAAGTCGCGCATTCTTCCAGACGCAGACCCAGACATTTTTGCATTTGATAGGAGGCAGTCTTTGACAAAGGGAGTTCGGAGCAACCGAGGTTTATTCTTTTCGTCATTGGTCACAGCTTGGTCCATTTCGATAATGTAAACGGGGCGGAAGGTGGCTTGCAGGAAGATGTTACGGACGTTGGTCTCGTAAGTCTCTATCACGTCGTGGTAGAACAGATCGGGCCAGAGCTCGAGGCTGACGTTTTCTACTTCATTGTGATGTGGATCGAGCTGAAGACGATTCTGCACACCAGATCCACCGGCTTCAACAACAACGTTGTCCTCGTTCATAATTCGGGAGGTCCCCGTCGATGAAGGTGATTTCTGCATCAATTCCAGCCACACTTTTCTCTTCACCCGCCACCGCCTGGCTTCCTCCAGCATCAACTCGTTAAACCCCTGGTGGCACCACATCAGAGGCCCGATGTCGAGAAATTTTCCCTCTTGGAGGTTTTTCGTCACCGAGCGGGGAAGATCATAGTAGTACTCCGCCTGTTCGAGACAATAGTGCTGGCACAGGAAAGAAAGCATGATTTTCCCTGGGGCACACTGGGAGGTGTCGTATTCGTGGCCAGTGGTCGTGGAAGAAGTGCTGGATCTTCGGTCATTTATGTCAGGGAGGTTCGCCTGCTCCTGAAACGCTGCATAAAAGTCCGGATACATCCGTTCCCACGCCCAGGTTTTCAACTCGTTCCCGGGGGCGCGGTCCGTCCACTGCATGTACAGCTGCGTGCACAGCGCGTAGCCAAACGCGTCGAGAAAGGCGAAGCCGTTGCGCCAATTCCGTAGAGAGTGATCGTTTTCCTCCAGTTGGATCTCCGTGAGAGATTTCCCCTCCACCCGCATCTTCCGCCAGACGCGGGCGAGATCGGCTTTCAGAGGAGTTTCGTCCCAGCAGCTGTAGTCGGGGTAGCGGTCAGAGTGGCCGTCAGGTTCGTTCGACGATGTTGCAGGAGCTTCGCCGCGGTCCCCTGCTGGGGGAGTTGTACTTCTAAGCGTCGTCGCAGATAAATCGGAAGTTGTAGACAGCTGCTCATTGATCGCGTCATCCGCGCTGGGCGGTTCTTGGCACAACGCAGTTCGCTCGGTGCCCAGGAAGATCAATAGGAGGAACAGGGGACAACTGACAAAGCGCCGGATTAGAGCTAGATAAGGCGACATCTTACTTGCCTGACGGAAGGACCGAAGAAATAAATTCAAAATAAAAAAAAAACCTCCGGCGCGGGCTCCGCCCGTATCCCCCCTAGCATTGAAACAGATGATTTATTTTCGTGAAGACAAACACAAATTGGCTTCTCGATCTCGTCAGGGTTGTAGCCTCGCGTCTTCGACTTCCAGAAGTGGTCAACGTCAAACGAAAACGCGCAAGCAATAAACTTGATGAAGCATCACCATGGGAAGTTCCGGATTTTTCATCCACTTATGTTCGGATCGCGAAAAACTTCAACTTCTGGCATTCAATCACGTCACTGCAGGAACACAACGCGCATCAAAAAGCTCGGAAGAGCGGCACCACCCTCGCTACCTTCGTTTTTAGATCCGCCATCTTATCCCGTCACATGAAGCTACGATAAAGGCCATTCTTTCCTCAGCCTGCCAGCAGGAGCTCTACGGACTTGGCAAATACTATTTGCCACCACTTAATGTTAATAGCGAAGAAGATTTGTTGAACTGGAGTTTCGTTGACTGATAAAGCCCTGAACAGCTTGTGCTTGACAACGCGAAACTTCATAATCTTAATGATCATACAGCGGTTTATCTATAAGATCTTACATTTCGCTCATATATTCCACCCTTTTCTTTTCCTCCACCTTCAAGCTAAGTATTCAGACCAGCGCCGCCAGTCCACTCAAAATGCCCACTGTCACCGAGACCGTCAGACTGACGCACTGCGTGATAACCCGCCACTTCGCCTCCTCCCCTTCCGCACCAGTCAACCCCGCAAGCTGCCGGTCATTTGCTCCGTTCAACCGCGTCTTCCAGCGCAGCCACCAGACCGCGTTACTATTCGGGTATAATTGTTCTTCTTCCCGTGAATCTAATAAAAGGAAAAAAACCAGGCAACAGACACGGTAGGACAAGACGGTTAGTAACGTGGCGATCAGGCCCTGGATTGCGTAGTCGAGTCGCACGAGGTTTTTCCGGGCGGCCGCGACCACAATTATTTCAGTGTTCGCACTCTTCACCTTTTTGCTCTTCAACAAATACACCCGGATCTCCTTCACTGCAGAATACAGCAGCCAGCACATAATCGACTGGCCCAGAATGCAGCCGAACCCCATCACCCCGTACGGATCGCGCATGTCCGTGTGGTCGCGCAACCGGTAGATGGCGTTCTCCGTGTGGTTTTGCACCGTGAAAAAGCCAAGAAGGATGGACGTGTAGAGAAGCTGGCTCAGAACGGTTCGCAGCTTGTTTTGATGATCCTGCTCGTTTATTTCTTTACTGTTGAGCTGAAAACCAAAACGCCGGAGATGATAGCCGCACAACAACACGATCGCCCAAAACTCGCCGCTGACGATTAGACCCCAGAGCCACTTCGCTTTCTGAAAGTGATTCAAATCCTGCCACAGCCTTACCGGGATGGGGTCCAGGCGCAACTCCGTGATGTTCCAGACGAGCGACAAAAGGCTCCGTGGGAGGATAAAAGCGAAGAAGGGGATGAGAGTAAGCAGGACTAGGACCTCGAAAGGACACATCCAACGGACTTGAAGCGGTAACTTATTTTGCTCGCCGTGCTTCAGTGAACGAGCCTCTGTGACAACAGAGGACTTGGCCTTCGACGGGGATACTTTATTTCTTGATGATGAGGTCGGTCGTGTAGGGAATCCAGCTGCGCCAGTACGCGTCGGCGTGCGACCGCGGCCACGAGCAGTTGCAAGGGTCTGTTTCGATGGAGCCATAATGGTGGTCTAATGTGAAATTAACTAATAAAAAGTTTGATTTTAACCATTACTACAGTGCCGTCAGTGGCGTCTGTGCGAGATAAAATGAATATTATGAATGCCGCTTCTAGAACGAGAAAGCTAGCTACTGGAGCGAGTTACGAAAAGTTGTGGTCGTGTACTACTGCTAGACAGCGCGCCATCTAGCCACGGCTTTCCATGTTTAAGTCTGCCTGACAATGGTGATCGTATGCTGTAGCAGTAGATCTAGAATGTAGGATTTTCATACCATTGTCCATTGAAAGTTCGGCTACTTACACCACGGTCCGATCGACTTCCAACGACGGTATAGGGATCTAGTATCCACCTCATTCTGGAGCACCCCGAAGCCACAACTCTTTCGGATGATCGTTTGTGGCTCTACAACTTTTTGTGAACCAAAGACCGAGATGAAGATGATCTTCCATAGCTATTTTTTGTAGTTTTATTCCCGGGCCCGAAATTGTTGGTATTTAAGCAGAGCGCCGCATACCCGACCCACTTCTTCCATATCTGATTCATTGATTTGTCATTCCTGCTGGATTAGGCAGTGGATGCAGCTCCGACCGAATGATAGATCAGGTAGTTGCCGAAAACATGTGTGATGCACCGATACTCATCGTGCATAATCGAGAGGAGATTCTTTGCTGTAGCAAGGAGGAAGGACTTTCTCATGCATCTTCCTGTACGCGGCTGATCGCCCGGCATACCTCACAGATGAATTGATTTTTAAACATCAGCTGCAAGCGGCAACCGGAATGCGTTTTCATGCACAATTTCATTGTTTCCTGTGTTTCTCTTTCTTTCAAGAGGCATTTCGATTTCCGGGGTTCTCAAAATTGATACAAAGAGTGTGTGAAACAATGTGTCATGAAGATCGATGTGGATGTGTAATCTGGGTTATTTCAATTTTATTCATTTTGATTTATGTAGACTCACGGTTCGTAAAAAAGCATTTTTTCCGTCGGATCGCTCAATGCACCGGTTTCCGGCCCGAGCCTATGTCCATCATACAAATATCAGTTCGACTAGTTTGTACAGGTGACACAGATGTTGTAATATTATATTGGTATTTTTGCGTATTGCATTTGCAATTGCAGTGGTGTAAAAATGCATTTGACTTTCTACGAATTTTGGCGCATGAAGTCTTTCGATGATGCGTAGCTCTCAAGTGTGCTTCTTGTAAGTAATATAATGACATCCAGATTGTAAAATGATTTTCAAAAATTCAACGGAGCACCAGCGGCCCTTTGGCTGCTTGGCAGCATGATATTTTTCACGACGTTGCCTCCGGATAAAGTGCAGTGCGGGTCCGAGAAGCACGAGAGGCTGCAGCAACGCTGCTCTATCCTCATCAAATCCTGTTCGCTTCGCGACCACCACCGCTCCCACCCAGGCACTTTCAATATTGTCCTCGTCCGTGGAAAAAAAACCGGTATCGGGATTACATTACTTGAGCTTCATCTTTGGAAGTCTAAGTGTGTAAAATTTTGTTTATCATCAATCTATTAAAAAGTTGTCAGCAGCTTCTATGTTAGCGGATTTAGTAGACCTGACACGAGGCCTTCTGAAAAAAATCAGTCTCCAATAGATATCGGCATGGCTTTTGAAAAGTTGTTAAAACACGAAGGAAAACACAAACTGTAAAATGATAATTGGTTTAGCTAAAAATGTTAAAAGTTGAACCTAAGTAGTTGCATAATTTCGTAAACTTATCAATCTTGACTTTGTTCGAGTCTTCGTCCCTGGAATCGTTTCTTGTCTGTTTGTTTGTTTGTAGACATGCGGCAAGGTGGAAACGCGTCTACTCACCTTTTTTTCCCTAGCGCTACTTCAATAAAAACCCCTTTACGCAAAGATGCTTGAGAAAATCCTTAGGGGCTGCTACCGGTAGTGTACGACTTGCTTTAAAAATAATTATACGGCCTGCTGGAAAGTGGTACTTTTATAAAGCGCCAAACTCCGTTGTAAATCTGTTGCGAATTTCCGTTGAAAAAAGGCTACTTCTTGGACCACTTCTACCTTGCTTAGGAAGATCACGACACTTTGATCGTTCTGCTTTTGTTTTTCTTTTTAGCTCACTGTAAAGTTTTTAGATCGCCATAAGCTTCCAAGTAAAGTTCTCAACTAACAGTTCTCAACTAACATAGACCGGAGCCTTTTGCAGAGCATCACTCTTCAACCGCGCTGCGGCCTCGTCCATCGGACCACCACTGGTGCCGTATTGCCGGGAAGGGGCCGGCGAGTGGTGCGAGGGCGTCGTTGGCATCCACTAGGGCCCTCGCGACTTGGTTCGGTTTGTCGCGGCACTCCTCCATGTGCCCGAGGTCCCAGGAGCGGAAGAATGACTGCGTGATCGGGCACTCATGCACGAAATGCGCCGTAGTCGCTTTCCCCTGCCCACATAGGGCACAGTCGAGGTCTTCTCCACTCGGCTGCGCCGCCAACAACCCAAAGCGCAGGGCGTAATACATGGTCTGGCCAACGCGGCCGCCGGCGTCGGTCACCAGATCACGCCCCCAGCCCCCTGTTTCCTGGAGCGTTTGCGCTGTTTTGCTCTTTGTCTTTTCGTCCCGTTGCCGTTCGGCCAGGTTCCGGCGGGCTTCGTTCCGCACGTAGCGGCGGGCCCCCGTCTTGAACTGCTTGCGCGTGATCGGTTCGCCCTCTTCCTGCAGGTCGCTGCGGTTGGCGTACCCCGCGAGGTGGTCGGCGACCACGTTCCCCGCGATGCCGGAGTGCCCTGGCACATACCGGACGACCAGCTTGGCGCAGCTTTTCAGCGCGTCCGCTGCAGCCGTGTAGACCTCGGCGCCCAGGTCGTCCCGCAGTCTCGGATTGAGCAACGCCCGCACGTTGGACTGGCTGTCCGTGCAGATCGTCACCTGCTCGCTTTTCAGCGCGTGGCGTGCCACCGCTCGGAAGGCTGCGATGAGCGCCATGCGTTCGGTTTCGTACGAATCCGTGTGGAGCCCGATGGGCCACGCCGCCCCACACTGGATGCCGAACCCATGCAGAAAGACGCCACAAGACCCGGCAAAGTCTTTGACCGACCCGTCACAATACAGCACCAGGCTGGACTCCCGAAGGGTGTCCACCAGCGCCGGCGTGCCTTCGTTTTGCCACGTCGCCTGGAAGCGGCCCTGTTCCTCTGCTTCGTGGAGGACGGACCACCCGCGTCCTGCTCTTGCGCCGATCTCGGGGAGAACGGACGAAACCGCGACGTTAGAGTCGTCGATCACTTGCAAGCCGGTTTCTAGCCAGTCCACGCTCGAGGTGTTCGCTACCTCCCTCAAAGCGTCCCCGGGCGGTCGTGAGAAAGCACGGGCCGTGAGCGCCGTACTTTCCACCTGGTAGAGCTCCGGGAGCGACAAAAGGCCGGCCGCCATGAGTGCGCAGGCGCGGTTCACCTGTCTAAACTTCGGAAAGCCCAGCACTTCTTTGGCCCCCTCCAGCTGGAAACTGTTCAGGGCGGCCGCCTCTTTCGCCCCGAGCCCGCTCCAGTATGTTGCTAGCCCATACGTGAGGACGCTTTCGCAGAATAACTGGTAAAAAGCCCGGACGGACTTCGACCCGGCGCCCAACGCTCGCGATAGGATGCGCACTGCCGCCATTCGCTTGGTGAGGATTTCGGATATGACTTCAAAGTGCCGACAGAGTGTCAGCTTGCGATCAAACCACACACCGAGGAAGCGCGGGTGGGGGTCGTAGACGAGCTTTTCCCACCCCGTCGTGGTGCAAGGCGAGTTCATCCAAGTCGCACGCAAACTCGTTCTGGAAGACGATATACGAGCACTTCCCGGGAGCAAGCTGCATATTGCTTCGGCTGCAGAAGTCGGCGACCACGTCCAGGGCGGCCTGGAGTAGTTTCTGCGCCTCCCCTGTCTCCCCGGACCCGTGCTCTAGCGTGAGCGCCAAGTCGTCCACGTACGCGAGGACTTGCACTCGTGGGCACTTCTTCTGCAGCTCTCGGAGCAGAATGTCGGCGAAACTGCACCAGACCAGCGGGCCGAGGCACGTGCCTTGCGGGACCCCCTGGCGCAGCGGGACGGCCTGGGAGATCTCGTCGCTGAACCTCACCACTCGGCGGCGGTTGGTGACGAAGGAGCAGATCCACCGCGTGAGCAGCAGGAGCTCCTGTTTTCGTGCCGGGTCTTTAAACTCGTGCCGCCGCTCCAGTAGTCCGCTGAGGAACAGCGGCGGGCAAACACGCTCGAAGGCCGAACTCAAGTCCAGGAAGCACGTCGCCCTCCGGCGATTCTTGCGCAGGGTGTCGGAGGCCAGGGCCCCCAGCGTTGCCGTGTGGTCCGTCGCGCTTCTTGCGGGTGTGTCCCCGTACTGGTTCTTGCTGTACAGCGGGGCGCCCTCCGCCTGGAAGGTTAGCCGCAGGCGCCGCAGCACTGTGCGTTCCCAGGCTTTCCCCAAGCACGACGTCAGGGCCACCGGCCGGAGGGATTTGGGTAGGTCCGCGGCACGGCCGGGCTTTGGTACTGGTACGCAGACTTCCAGCCGCATGACCTCCGGCGTCACGCCTTCGGTGACCCCTTGCTCGAAGGTTGCGCGCAAGAGCTGCTTGCCCTGTTGCGGGAGGTTTTTCAGCAGCACCCCGTGGATGCTGTCTGGCCCGGGAGCCCCGCCCGGCTTTTGGCCCCGTAGAGCGAACTCCACGTCATCCAGCTCCAAGCGCAGCGCTGTGCTCGGCGCTAGCTCTTCCGCTAGTGTGTGCTGGTATTGGTCCCAGGCCACTCGCTCTGCCCCGGGGTCCAACACCGGGTGGGACCCGTAGAAATGCGCCAAGACACACGCGAGCTTTTTGAACACCAGCTTCCCGGCGTATCGCAGCGCTGTGGTCTGCTGCTTCGGCGGCGGCCGCCCTTGTAGTTCCCACCCGCAAAAGCCGGAAGGCCCCGCTGGTTGTCTGCTCCGCTTGCTCGAGCTTTTGCCCGAACTCGTCGTCCCTCCTGCTGGCCTCGGCGTTTGCTACACGCGCCGTCGCGCGCCGTAACGCGGTGCGCCAGTACAGTCGCTCCGCCGGCGGTGCGAAGGCCACGCGCTTGATGCACTCTCCCCGCTCTTTCAGTGCAAGGCCTAGCTCCGTGCCTGTTTGCCACCGCGGCTGCCTGTGTCTCTTTCTCGTTCTCGTGACATTGCTGCGCGGGATAGACCTGTGCGCGGCGGCTTGTATCGCAGCGCGGATGTGTGCGAACTTGTCCTCGACCGACGGTGGTGCCGGGTGGTCCCGGAGAAAGGTGCGCATCTCTGCGCGGTACAAGTCCCAGTCCGCCCGATTGAAGTTCAAGCGCGTGCGCCTCTTCGTTGTGGGGAGTGGTTCCTGCCACAAGTCCGGGCTCCACGGAGCTACCGTTGGGTCCGCCGGGAGGGCCACTACCGCCCCGGGGGCCGGCGCAGGTGGCGTTTTTGTGCTTGGTGTCGGGACCGGTGTGGGGCCGCCAAATGAAGGAACTATCGGCGCCAGCCCGGAGACTGCGGCAACTAGCAACCCCAGCCCCGGCAAGACCGGCAGTCGCTTCTCCCCTGTGTTGCTCTGCGCGTCCGCGCTGTGCTTGTTCGCGCGCTGGGCCCGAAGGCGCTCGAACTTCTCCTTGCGGAGAACCTTCTTTTGCCTCCCGGTGAGATTTACTTTCCCACCACCTCCTGCTGCTCCCTGTGTTTCGAAACTGGCGTCCTGTGTGCCCCGGAGGCCTTGGTTGGCCTTCTGCCCCGAGCCGGTAGCGCGGCCTCGTCCCGCCCCTCCTCCCCCGGCGTCGTCTTTTGCTGTGTTGCTGGCGGTGAAGTTCTGCTTCCCCGGACGCTGATCGGCACGTGGCTCGACCAAGTCGAAGACCAGGGCCGCATGGTCTCCGCCGACGAGGCACACTGCTGGCCCCTGCGGCTGTAGTTCGGCAGCCCGCGCGAGTAGTCTTCCGGTCAGCAAGACTACGTCCGGCGAGGTCTTCGACGCAGGCCGGGTCGGCAGCGGGGTGGTGTAGAACTCCAGCGCCTGCGCAGTTGCCCAGGTCTTCACCTGGGTCGCCCGTGGCTCCTGTGTGTGGTTCGCGTCCCAGGAAATTGCAATCTCCCTGCCCGGGGGCATGTTGATTGCCGGTAGGGTGGGAATTCCCGGAGGGGTGTAGACGTTCGCGCTTACGCCCCACTCCTTGCCCGTGTCGAGGTTGAACAGGGTGGCGCAGGTGGAGGCAACGTTCTTCCCGCCCTCCGCGACAATGCGGAAGTCCGGGTCTGACTTCACGACTCCCACTCGCCCCTCTCGGACGATGCTGGCAGCCCCTCCCCCGCTGCCTTCGGTCTCACAGACTTCAAGAACCTCCCAGCCCGGTACGTGGCGCTGGAGAAATTCGCGGAGGAAGTCTTCGCCGCACCAGGTTTCCTGGAGGTGGCACAAGTCCACCTCGTGCTCCTCGAGCAGCTGGCTCAACGCCGCCCCTTTCACAGAGGCCGCCGCTTCGTCGCTTTGGTTGAGCGACTGGCAGTTCCACTGCGCGACCCGCACCGCCCCTTGCACGACTGGGTGCTTCGCCCCATACTGCTCTTCCTCCGCTTTTGCTGCGCCCTTGGCCGGCCCGACTACGTGGCGCGTGTAGTACTTGACCTCCTTCCCCCGGCTACACTCGGGCAAGAGGAAGGTCGTGCACTTCTTGTGTGCCTTTGCGATGTGCTCGCTGAAACCCTGGACCCTACCCGCATACCCGCGGTTGTATGGGCAGTGCGAGCAGTAGTAGCGCCGCGCTGCTGCAGCTTGTTTTAGCGTATCCCCCAGGCCAACCACAACGCAGGACTCGGCATTCTGGTAGTTTGGGAGGTCCTGGACGGACACAACGCCTTCGACCGCAGGCGCAGCTTCTTCCTGGTCTTCGTCCCCGTCGGGGCCAGCACTGGCGCGCCCTGTGCTGCTGCAGCTATTCCCGCCCGCCTGCAGGCGGTTGGGTTGTTCCGCTTGTAGTGCAGGTGCTGCCAGGGCATTGGAAACGTTGTCGCCCAGGCCGGGCGGCTGGCGTAGAGCCTTCTTTTGCTCTGTTGTCGGATGCGCCGCTGCGAGCATTGCTCTGGTTCCGGAGTTGGAGATGTGCTGTGCGGCTCCCTCCTGTGCAGGTCCGCTTGCGACCTGTGTCCCGGCAACCTGCTCCAGACCAGGAGGTGTCTGTTGTGGCTGGACCTCCTGCTCCTGCTGGACCCGCGGGAGAGCAGGCTCTCTCGCTGCTGTTGTGCTGCTCACCTGAACCTGATGCATCGCCGGTACTGTTTCGTCATTTGCAGGAGGGGGAGGGGGGCCCAGCTGGATTTGTGTTGTCGCGCCGCCTAGTGCTTGTCGGCTGCTGTGTGCAGGGTGCAAGTCGTGCTGCATCGCCAGAACTTGGCGTGGGGCGGGGGTGTTTCCGTGGGCCTGTAGGCACGTGCGCTGTATCGGAGCAGCCACTGTGACTTCGGCGCCCCATCTTGTCTGTCATTTTAGACAGAGTATCATATTACTTTCTTCTACTTCTACTTCTTTGTTTATTCCCTTCTGAAATAACTAGAGTTTCCGCCCCTTCCCATCCGCTCAAATTTGCAGAAGCGCATCGCTCCCGTTTGCTGCCTCAACTCGCCCCCTCCAACTCCGCCCCTTGCAAGACTGCTGGAGGATTTTTCGGGTCAGGTATGCAGTGCAAAAAAACATCGTATTAAATGCAAGAGAAAACTGCATGACAAATCGCTTCCTGAAGCTAAATCAGTATCACAAGTGCGATTTTTCCATTTGCAGAAATCTGTCATGCGATTGTTGACCTACGAGTAGCACGACACATTTGCGATGCATATCAAGAAGATGATGGCGAAAGTGAAGAGGAGGATGATCCCGACCGTTGTCGCGGAACAGAATTCCATGAATTCCGCGTCTTGTTGCAGTTCCGGTTTATTGTCCCCGCTCTCCCGGATGAGATGACTCTTCGCACTGTTCATTCCCTGCGCCTGCTCGTTCTCCGAGGACCACCTCCCGTAGTTGAGCAGGAAATTCAGGTACGATTGCGAAGTAGAGTCGGTCGCCGCAGAGGAAGTGGAGAGACTGCGAGTGTTTCCATCTTCACCATCTTCTTCAGCAAGAGCTGCTACATCCCCTACTTCATTCGTCTCGGGGAAGTTGTTGTGTCCGCCCTGCTCCTCATCAGTTTGAGTTTCGACGATTCTGCTTTGTTTGAGGTTTTCGCCCTCGGATAGTTGTAGTTTTTGCGCCAGCTGCAAGTGTGGTGGTTCTTCTTCTTCTTTTCCCGCCTGCTCCTCAACATTGTCGTGTTCTTTTTTCTCTGATTCTTCGCCGAAGAAAATTCGGTTGAAAAACGAAACCAGTTTCTGGTTAAACCGCGGACCACTTTTGCGTTGAAGGTGGTTCAAGTTCGACTTTGAAGACGTGGTCGACGTCGCTTGTTGTTGATCCAGGTCAGCTTTGTCGTCATTTACAGACTTATCAGCATCTTCATTTAAGACATCGGTTTCCCTTTCCTCGTCGACATCTTCCATGGACCCCGTCGCCGCGTACTGGGGGTTGCTGTACCCGCCCCGGAGATTTGAGGTTTTCTTAACAGCTGATGTTCTACTTCTTCTGGAAGCACCAGTGTTGACATGATCAACATCTGAGGATGAGGAAGACGTAGTTTCTATCTTTCTTGCCGAGGAGCTACTAGCCGCTCCTGCTGTGCTGGTGCTGGTTGCGGGAATTCCTGCACCACTGGATGGAGTTGTAGATGAGGGCTTTGTTGTACTCTGCGCCACGTCGGAAGTAGATGCAGCTCCTGGTGAGCTGCTACCCGCTTGTTCATCGTCTACTTCGACGTGTTTTTCCGATGTCGCGGCACCCTTTGTAGGCGAAGAAGAAGATGAAACCGCGGCCGTACCACTGCTCTGTAGTTTCCGAGCAGCTTTACCTTGAGAAAGTCGTGCAGAAGTTGTAGTTGTTTTTGTGACGTCTTTCTTTTGGAGTTGCGTCTGATCCTGCTGCTGCTCGTCACCCTCCAACTGTAGGAATGCGGAGGAAAACGCAGTGGCTTCTGGGTCGAGGTCGTCCACATCATCTGCCTTTTTGTGATGATGATGATGATGGTGGTCGTGATGCTTGGCTGATTGTGGTTTTTCGGCAGGAGCATCCTCCTCGTCATCTACCTCTTCGTCCTTAGCCGCCGACGACGGCGCCTTCGCTTCTTTTTCATTCCCCGCGGCTGTACTAGCAGATTTGCTTGTAGTTTTCGGTGCGGCAGCGGCAGAAGGACCAGCACCTCCTTTCGTTCGACCTTGGGTTTTTGTCTATCCTGTGGAAAAGTATCGCCCTCGTGCTAATGTAATACGGCGGATATCTTTGCATGACAGATCTGATTTTCTATTTCTAGTACCCGGGTTAGCATTGGAAGTATCATTTTCGATTCTGCAAAAATTTGTAATCTGCAGTTGCTAGTACGTGTAGTACCACCAGTACGATAAGTATCGACGAGACTTTTCAACACTGCATATTTCCCCGCCCTTGCTGCCACCACCTTGCACATCTACCGTCGTCTTCGTTTGCGCAACAGGAGGCGTTGGTGCGCCGGCCGTCGCAGTCTGGCTGGCAGGAGGCAAAGTGGGCACGGAGAGGTCCATTCCCGGTACCAGGCCGCTGACGACGTTCTTGCCACCAGCCTTGCTCCGCTGCGTGGAAATTTCCGGAATCTTTCCCGCGAGAAGATCCCGACCGGCTGGCGTTTCTCCCAGCACGGAGGGCGGCTCCTTTTCCACATCGTCGTGCCATTTTTTCTCCCGGTGTTTCGCAGTCGCCTTTTTGTGTTCTTTCTTCTTTTTAGCCGCTGCGCCTTCGCTGCTCTCGTCCTCGCTACTGCCGGTTGCTTTCTTCTTTTTCTTGTTCCTACTACGGGCGGCCTATCCTCTGCAAAAGTATCGTACTCGTAGTGGCTGCTGCAGCTACTCCTGCATTACAGATTTCATGCTCTGTCTACCACAATCGCCAGCATTACAAATTCAATGCTTCAACTTGGGAAATAAATTTGTGATGCAATTTTGAATAGTAGCACGATGCTTTTGCATTGCATAGGGCTGCGACCAGTCCCAATCCCGTTGCTCCTGCTGCAACGCCGCCCGCGGCTACAAGTCCGGCCTGCAGCTTCTGATTCTTTTGGATCTCTTCTTGCAGCTCGTCGTATGAGAGTGCACAACTCTCCATCCTCCTTATTTGTCATGCAAAACTACACCAAATCCAGTTGCTGCCTTGTAGCATTGTTTGCATGACAAACTCCGGAAGCCCAAGCAGTACTACACTAGGGACATAAATTTGTCATGCATCGGCTCCACGTGTGCTGGTGTTTGTATTGCTGTTCATGCCATGCAAATGAGGGGGAGGGGGAGTTCTGCATTGTCATAGGTTGTACAGCGTGTTGCCGTCAAGCTCGTGTTGCTATCGAATGCAAATGTGTCTGGGTCTGGAAACTTGTGATGCTGAGCCCCCCTTGGCTGAGCCTGTTCCAAGAGCCACCAAGCATGACAAGTTTTCGTCGAGCTTTCTTACTTTTATACGTAGCAAGCATAAGCATTACACGTGGCGTTTTTGCATGACAAAAAAGGCACAACTTGTGCTGGTCATGCAATACAGACTTGGCACTCATGCAAGACAAGCAGCAGAACTTCCTCCTTTCCAGACCCAGACGTATTTGCAATGCATAGTTGCAAGTCTTCAATCTTCTGGTCGTCCCGGGCGTTCTCTGCTTCGGCGTTATCAGTTGCTGTTTTGGCTGCTTCTTTGGCCTTTTCGAGCTGCCTCCGCAACTGTTCGATAGTATTCTGGTCCTCATTGTGTTGTGTCTTGAGATCGTTCTTGTCACCTTGTATCCAAGAAAAAAATTGTGTAGGAAGAGCAGCGTCACAAATTTCGTTCTGCATCTACAGAAAACACCTGTCATGCGCAGCTAGTAGTGTACGTGAAAGCACGCATCAAGCGTCGGGTGGCTATGAACATGCAGCTTCGGCACGACATTGTCGTGCCGAAGCTGCTTCTTCTTCTTCCTCTACACTTGTCACAAGTGTAGCGGTTTTGCATTTTCTACATCTTTGCAAACTTACACTTACACAGTTTTTTTCTTGCACATCTTCCAGGTCGCTGATTTTGGCGTCGTCCGCTGCATCGTCTTCTCGGGCCTCCGCGGCGTCGGCATTAGCCTTCGTTAGTGCCGCCTGGTCCGTCTTATCCAGTTGCGCAAATCCAACGGACGTTGCTCAGGAGGTAGAGGCAGATTGATATTAGAATACAAGGTAAGCTACAACAGCTTCTTTTTACGTAGAAAACGACTCGAACTCAAAGCGCAAGTTGTTGAGGCTCAGACATACCACATCCGGCTGAGAACAAGAAGCTATACAAGAAGCAGCTACCGAAGTAGAATCGAAGGACTTTTACGTGTCGATGCTTTTACATGTCCTAACAATTGCGGAGAGGAACAAGAATTAAAACAGGAAAGCTCGTGCATACGAAAGAAAAAATACAACTGCAACTGCAATTGGTTTTGACAAGTAGTACATGGCACTGATTCAAATCCACCGACAACATCAACTTCTTCCTGCAGAGCTTCACCTGACATCCTGCAAGCCTCTCACAAAGACAAATCAAAATTATAAACATGTCATTCATTACTATTTATTACATCTTGACGTGTTAATCCTATTCCTTGTCCCTGGCAACGTGCAGTGTGCCAGGCGTAGGCGGTGTGTTGGGTCGATCAACTGCAAATATCTCTGGGTCGGTGGTGCTGAATTGTGGATGAGACGCATTTAAGTATAGAAGATAGCGTCAAAGTGTATATGCATGTAGAAGCGAGCATGACAAGATGTTCTATTTTCTCATGCGTGGGACTGTACAAACACAAACAAACTGCTCTTCAGACGAGGAAAGGGTCATGCAAGGAGATGAAAGATTCTACACTGGAATCTCTTTTTCATACATCTGATTTCCAGTGCCAGTCCAGGAACGAAAGCAAGACACGCAACACAAGTCCACCTCAGCCCGACCCAGGATGGGAATGTTTTCACGAAGTAGATCTTCCAGACGGTCGATTTCCTCATTCCGGTCCGCCACGGAGGGGTCCCACTCCTGTGAGTAAGTGTTTTTTACGATAGTACCATACAAATTCTCAATAGAAAAAAGCGAGACCGCTTGTTTCTTTAATTCCGTTCTGCTCCGGACGGTTCTACTCGAGTATGTTTGTCATTGATGTCAGTCGACTTTATCTCAAGCCGACCCTATTTTTAATACTGTTCGCTATCTCACCATGTAAGTACATGTTGGCCAGGGAGACGCTAGTAAGGCCCCAATTGGTATATATATTACCAATTCCTGCAGTGAAAGCAAAAGTAGAAGTCGGAAGCTGCTTTTTTTTTCTTGCGTTAAGAAAAAATACCTACAACTGCAAAGCGGTAGATTCAAACCACAAACTCGAGATGCGACTTCCTGGACCAATATCGCATTAGATGCGACATTTCGCATGCATACATAAAAGCAATTGGTCCTGCAACACACTTGATGATGATTATGATGATGATGATTATGATGACTTAATACTTGTAAGACCCAGCTGTTTGGTCCATACGTTGTAAGGGTAAGCAAGTAAGTACTTACCGGCTGAACATCGAGGTGACTAATATGGAAAGAAAAAAACCCTGCACGTTCGTTCAATGCTGGTCTTTCTGCGGACTTATATATAGATACGCGCGCGGGCGCGCAAGTCGTTTGACAGCAGATCTTCAGCCATGACATCGAAGAAGTTTTGCCATTCCTGTTCTCATGATTGCAAAATTACGAGTACGATGGGCTTTTTTCTTCGGCTAGTTGTCTGGGTCCGATGCGCCGATGTATCAACTGCAAATATTTATATCCGGGTCTGGAAAGTTATCGTGCTAATAGCTCCGTGCATGACAAAAGCAGCACGAGTAAAGGAATTATACTTACACAGGTAAGTAACATCACCCATTTGATGTGAGCGGTCCTGTTGTGCGTAAAAGACATGAGAAGCAGCGTTTTTGCATAGAAGAAAAAATCACCGCCATTGCGCAATATGTATTTACAGAATCCGGGAGCATAGAGGCTGCTGGTAGCTCAGCGTGACGATTTACAAGCCTGGAACCCTCCACGACCCAGACATATTTGCATTTAATACGATGTTCCAACCATGCGGGAATTGAGCCGCCCACTCAGCTTCGGTGTAGCATCCATCTTTGCCGGGACTCCATCAAAATGACAAATCTCCTCCCTCGACGTCCACACTCAAATACAAATTTGGGAAGCGGGTGAGGGATCTGTAGCGTGCACAATAACTCACTCTGCCATGCCAGAGAGAATATCACAGAAAAAGCAGAGCGTCGGAATGGATAGCGCCTAGACTCTTTGCTGGCTCAGCATGACTGAAGAAGGCAGCAGAACAGCAGTTTTGCCCAGAATTGCCTAACAAATGGCAATGAGCCGATGCGTACTTACTATAGTGTCGTGTCACTTCGCGCTCGCCTTGTCGAAGGACAGAGCCGGTCTGTGGGTGTGGCGACAAATCAGCATGATAAAGAGATTTCGTTTTTGCGTCTGGGGAGAGGGGGAGAATTCCCGAGGATAGATCGCCTGGAAGGGGCATGGGTCCCACTTCTGGAAAGAAAAATTCGCGACACGACAGTCACTATATTCATTTTGCTGGTTGTGCATGAGCGTGGCATCACTCACAATTTTTCCTTGCATAGAAACGCGCCAAGTGTGAAAGAAATTCTCGGGGGAAAGAGCAAGAGCGTCACTGCTGTGCTCCCTCCTGTCGATCGTCGTGAATGTTGCATTTTTAAGCACCATGATAACCGTTTTTATCATGCAAGGATGGCACGAAGCGAACTTTGCGACGAACTTTTTGCGTTAGGTATCCAATCGGCCTGGCACAATATGCCGTCATCCCCCGCCAGCATCCTACGAAAAAACGCCCCCCACCCATATTCAAGATGAGACCTTTGCGACACAAATCTTGTTCAACCGGGGTGGCTAGAAGGTGCAGTCGCATCACGAATCCATTTTTTCTCCATTCTGATGCGGACATGATGAACTTCCAGAGAGATGAGCATCGAAAAACGTTTCGCATCCATGGAGCTGCGCATGAGAGATACATAATTTTGGCATGCAGACTCGCACGACAAACATGTTGGAGTGTTTTTGTTCTGCAAAAAAACCAAAATGAGGCACAGCTTGGAGTTGGCCGACGGGACGTTTTTACTCAGGATAGCCAGCTTGGATGCTTCGTCCCAAGACATAACCTTGTCCATGGTATGGGAGCGGCAGGAGGTGGGAAATCGACCAACTGAAAACATAATCTACCATGCAAAAAAGACACTTTGTTGACCAGTATGAAATGCGCCCACTAGCTTAGTTCGAGGCGCTCCACCTCGTTCATGGCAAATTCTCCCCACGCGTCGCGGCAAATTGGAAGGGAAGTGGGTCTATTGCTACCTGGGGGGGAAAAAGGTGAAATAATGTGGCGCGATTTTCCCGCCCACCATTTATGATGATAGATGAGACACCTGCGCGGCAAGAACTGCGGCGCCTCAAAGTCGGCGCCGGCAAGGATCGGGCCAGACACTCAGAATAAGTAGAAGGGCCGCCCACAGAAGTGACAAAAAATCAGCGGCAGGAGGAGACTGCATGTCCCCGCATGTGAAAGAGTGCGTCTCAGAGAGAGTGCCCATTTCCGTATATGGATGGCCGTGGAAAAATCGACGACAGAAAAAAGGCGCACGACTTAAATCTGAAAAGGCAGGAACTGGCAAGAAGGCGCAGCCGTTCACTCACTGAACATGCCCTCCAGAAAGCGCGCTCATTTTTTCACATGTGGGGAAATAGTCGCCAGAAAGAGAGCGCGCCCATCCGCATCCGACAAAATAGTTGCCAGTAGCGACAGGCCTCACGTCTCGTTTTTCGTGTGAAGGAATGACCTCCAGGAACAAGCCCCACTTTTTCGCATGTGGAAAAATGGACGCCAGGAACAAGTTGCATTTTTTCACATGTGAAAGAATGGTCGCCAGAACAAAATCCATTTTTTCACATGTGAAAGAATAGCCGCCAGACACACAATCCATTTTTTCCCATGTAAAATAATGGCCGCCAGAAACAAAGTCCATTTTGTCACATGTGAAAGAATGACCGCCAGAAACAAAGTCCATTTTTTCACATGTGAAAGAAAGCCCCTGAAGCGATACCGCTTGGCCGGCCCCCCGGGGCAGATGCAAGAGCTCCGCACTGGATAGCGCCTGGCCTCCGCCTATTGCTATTCTTCTGCCGCGGTTTCTTTTCTGCGGGCAGGGCAGCTTTGCGAGTGGGCTTGAAGACGTCACCCCGTGAGCGCTGGAGCATTTCAATCTGCTTCGCAGCGTTGCCGGGCCCGCCTGCCATTTACCCGCAAAGCCCGTCCCTATTTCAAATCCTCCACATTATTTCACCTTTTTCCCAGCTCCACCTCGTTCATGGCAAATTCTCCCCACGCGTCGAGGCAAAGGGGCGTGGCACTGTTGTGGATCGAGTAGGTGGGGCCTCGTTCCCCTTTCAACATGCTCTTTAGCAGCTCCGTGCATGACCCAGGTGGCCGTGCTTACAATCGGAATCTTCGGACTCATCAAATTCAAATGCTCCTTGCCTGCAGAAAATAGGCAGTTTTTGCGGGAACCGCGTAAAAAAGTATCGCAATTCGCACATGGCAGTTTGCACATTTCCCACTTAATACTAGCATACCTGGGCTCGTGCCCATCGTCCGTGATCAGGTTCGCCATCATTTGCGCGTGTATGTCATCCTTGGCTTCCTCGGGATCGATCGGGTTATCCGCGCCGGGCCCGAGGTACTTTCCGGCCTCCTCTGCATCGATGTGCGACCCAAGAGTGCCGCGTTCCAGGCCGTTCTTGTCTTCGATCACGTCGATCAGCGCTCTTTTTTATCAACTGCAGACCTGTCTGGGTTTAGCTCTAGAACTCGACGACGCAAACTTCTACTAGTGCTTGTCTGGCATGGCTGTGGAATCTTCTGTCGTGTCTTGCGTGTTGATATGCAGAGGTCGTGCCGCTTGCTTGCATTGCACAAAAATGTCGAATACGTGCCAGACAGATAGGACGACCATCTCGAAAACTTTATTTCATGGCCATGCTTTTGCTTGCCTGGGTACTACTAAGTTGCTTTGCGCCCTCTCTCTCGTGCACACCTTAGCACAACAAGAACTTTCGTTGTTTTAATACAACAAGATATTTCTTCGATTCTGTTCATACCCGGGTATGCGTCCTCTTCCTGGCCATAGGAGGTGCTGAGTCTCCCCGTAGTAGTATCATGCGAAAAATAATGGTTCCACTCATCAGACAGGACGTTCTTCCCCTCGCCCGTGACGGGCTCGTGAGGAGGGGTGCCGTATCCTGATCACAAACGTCCCCACCCCATCCCCATCGTTGTCATGCAAATCTACATGCTCAAAGTCAAAATGTCTCTCATGATGAGCCCAATTGTTTGTAAGACGTATTTTCTAGTGCTGTAATGAAATTCCTGATTCTCGAATCAGCATGAGATGCTAGATTTGTGATGCACCTGCACTTACTAAGCGCGCTTACATTTTTGCGTCGAGTCCAGATTTGTCATCGGCAACAGCCAAAACTTGTTGATTTGCCCTGCAGGTTATTCGCCAACTTGACTATGAGGTGGGGACGTTTATTTTACATTTGATACGTCGTCCACAGCCATCCAGGGCGGGGCAGCGCCGATCCCCGCATCGGCCATATCGTGGTCGGCAGTTCCATGCTATCCGCAGTAAAAACGTCCCTGTCAGAGCACATTTGGCATGCAAATCTGGTGCATGTGCATCACGGACACGTAAATACTTGTGTCCCATGCTGCACAGCCCCATGAGGAGAGTTTTCTGATGCTGTCTTCTTGGTTCTATGCTCTAGTCAGGAATGAAGTCGATCAATCCACTGAAATGCGAGTGCACTAGCTGAGCAAGTCTAGACAAGACACGGACCCAGAGTTGTGAAATATATGCCCAAGTGCAGCCATAACTTTGCTCTACATATGGGCAAAAATGCCAATTTGAACAGGGCCTGGTGTTTTCACTGGGGGTACGTGATCGTGCAGGCCGTGCTCGGCATAATCTTCTTCATCTGCCAGAATGTATCGCCAGAAAAAACTGTTTCACTGTAAACTTGTAATGCAGAAAATGTATCCGAGAAGTATTTGTCTTGCCACACATGCAAGACAATGGATTTTTAGCTGTGTTTTCCCTTAGGAATCTCGCATGGCAAATTTTCTCTGGGATGTAGAACAAACTTGTGATGCAAAACTTGCAAAATCCTTACAGTGAAACACTTTTTTCGTGGGATAGAATGTTGCCGGGAACGAATGCAGAGCAATAATCAATACAAGTTATGCGGAGGCTGCCCTGCATGAGAATAAATGCCCTTTCCGAGGAGAGCGAGAGTAGACATCAAGAACCGCGCATGCGCATCTCTTGCCCACTACGCAAGACAGATCTTTGTCTCTTCCAAAACACGCATAAGACGTTCAAGTTTTGGTTTTCACCTTTCCAGACCTTGCGATATTTGCAATGCATATCGCCATCGGGTTTTCAGGTAGCTCTTCCAAAGCGTCCTTCGCGACGTGGTATGGAAGTGGACGCCCCCCTCCCGCCCCTCGGTCAAAATTGAAGAAAGGCGGATGCGGAATGAAATTACTTATAGCACCAAAAATACAAAAAGGGACGACCAACAGAAACGATGTGTCCTCTGCGTGACAACTCTAGGCACGAAAGAGTGTAATAAAAGCAGCTTGACCTGGTGCTCCTTGGAAGCCGCAACTTGTCATGCGCAGTGAGACGTGCAACATTATCGATTTATCAAATAGCTGGAATTTATTTTTCCATTTATTTTGCGTTCTTGCATGACAAAGAAGGGACGGTGGCAAGCTTTCCACTTTCATACCTTAATGTTCTTTATCCATTGCAAATGTAGTTATGTCTGGGTCCTCTGGAAGGACAAAGGCGCAACTGCTTATACTTTCACTTTACGTTCCTGAACCTTGCATGAGAGAGCAGGAGTCTGGTGTACAGCAACGGCATGAACGTATGGCAAGTTCTTTTGATAAGTAAGCTTGTTAAAGCGTCACTTGTAAATTGCATGGATGCCAAAGAATCAGAACTGCCTTCCAGCGCGAGAAAAAAACTCGGCTAATAACCGCGGCATGAAGTACAGATTTTGTTTTCGTAGAGAAACTCACCCTGCGTCACAACTCCAAACTCGGACTTATTTGCAATGCGTATTCTTCTGGTATGGGGTTCTCAAATGATGCATTCCCAACTGCTCTGTGGGTTTGTGAATGCAAAAGCACGGATCACGCTGCACACCGTCAAGCCTTCTGCGCATGGCAACTTCTCGATGCGCCCAATAGCACTAGAATCCGTCCCAAATCTGTATTGCAAAAGGCGCAATCTTCCTCCTTTCGCTTTCACTTTTGCCATTCGTGCATTACACATTCATGCATAGATGAGTTGAAGGTGTAACGTTTGAGAACCCCATATCTGGAGCTCCTCGACATCCGTGCTCATCAGTAGGTGGTCCGGGAAATCCCACAAAAAAAGCTACAGATTCATTTATTTGTGATGCCAGAATCACATTATAAAAACAGCGCAAAAGTTTAAGTTATATAATGGGCGAACTGCAGCCTGCCGGAGCACCACACTGTGAAAGGTACTATCCGTCGCTACTTTTGTTCGCGCTCGCAAGTACCTTCTACGTTTGTAGATGCTTTTTTTTTGGAAGTGTGATTTTAAAAAATGCTAGTAGCTTTTTGCCGTGTGATACGGAATGCTGTCCGTTGTAAGCGGAGGCCCGGGAAAATCGCGATGCCAGGTGTCTTCCATGGCGCGGTATGAAAGAAAAAGAGATCACCAATCTTCTAGATTTCGATGTATTACTTACACTCTCTTGCTAATTGTTGCATTTCTTGCATGATGAAGTCACAGAGAGACGCAGGCTTTCGAAATTTCCACTCGTGTGATTTATTTGTAGAGCGACAAGCTTTATCGAAGCTCCAGCTCCGTATTTGATACTCTAGCACACAACCTCCAGAAAAAGTAAAAAACATCGTATGTTGTTTGAGCTCATCGCTCGTAGGAGAAATGTCAACGCCGCAAAGCAAATCTACTGAGAAGGAGAAAAGCAAGTGTTACGTAGTTAGTAGTTACTGCCTCTACCAAAACCAATACATGCGCTTCCTTGATGTTTCTAGGGAGAAACTGCTACCCACGTAGTTAATATCGTCGCATCACCGCATTCAGAAAAACTCCGAAAAAACACCGCGTCGGTTTCTGCTCCTGTAGCGTGACCCGGATGATCATGTGTGTTTGTCCCCCCGCAAAAAGACAGACAGCGGAGTGCCGCAAGAGCAGGATAAAAATACATCACCTCTTCTACTCTTTCTTCTTTAGGGCCACAAAATGCGGGCGAGGTGGCGAGGACTACGGGCAGCGGCGTGGCGAGGACTTCGGGCAGGGTGGAAATGCAACAAAAATGAAATCTACTTGTTGTGCAAAAACTACGTGCGTTGAGTTACGTCGTACCTACACGAGAACAAGCATGCAAGAACCCCGGGGCATTTCAACGTGATCAACTCCAACATTGCCAATGCATGCAGAAATACGTAGCCGAACTTCATCGAAATCCGAGAAGGCAATCCTTCGGACTCTACATCATTCTGATTTTCGCTGTCCTAGCTCCAGAAAGATGTCTCGCTCTGGGTCGGGATTCTGTCCCGGTATCAAACACTGCAGATACATCTGCCCCCGCGGGATCATGTTCATGAAATCGACAAGACGACCCAGTTTTCTGCAGCCCTGCTGATTGTTGCGGAGTTGCAATGAAGTAGTGGTCTCTTTTGGAGTAGACCACACACAGTGTGAACGCCGCATGAAACGTTTTTCCAGGCTTTACATTTTTGCAGGTTCAACAATCGTATAAAGAAGTCACATGCGAAACATTTGCTGAGAATTCCTTTCACAGCTCGAGAAAAAAAAGTCACCGCGGATCGTCGTAGCTTCATGGTTCAAAACGTCGTGCATCACAGATTCATTTCCTTCATCGCGCTGCAGACTATACTTGCAATGCATACCCAATTCACCAGTAGCGATATATGCGTCCGCATATCCTACGCCGTTCCACGTGAAGAGCTGGCCGCCATTTGTTCCGTCTATCCTATGCGAATGTGTCTGTGTTGTAGACTCGTGGTAGCGCTGCATTTTTGTACACGATGAGACCACACGTCGGCCTGGTGCAGCCAAGAATAGTGAAAAGTAAAGCTGCTTGCTGTATGTGCTGCACACTTTGGCTGTCTCAAGTAATGTATCATCGGCATGAAAAAGTGGATTCCTGCTCTTGCAAGATGACAAGAAAGCTCTTCTTCACGCGCTTGTGCAGTCAGTCACCTAGAGATGCAGACTTTTGAAAAAAGCAGGAGCAACTGAGGCTGCAATGCACATGCTCGACTTTTCGGAACTCAGACACAATTCTTGCGATTTATACCGTCGTCTTGGTTCGTGCCAAAAGAGTTGTGCATGACTTCCCGCATCTCCTGAATAAAAACGTCCAGACCCCAACATATGTCGCGTCATTCTAATTTGCTTCTTTATGCTCAGGAAGTTTCTCATGTGGACGGCGGACCGCATGAGAAACTTCCTGAGCATACTAGAGAGCACCGCATCATGCGGTGGCTCTCTAGTAAAGGCCCTTTGTGGTCGAGCTTTCGAAA